TTGTTCTTGGGTGACTCTGCTGAGGAATATTTTAGTTATTTCAGCTATGTGTGATAGTTTTCAGTAAAATTAAGCCTGGGTAAACATCTATAAATTGACTTTGTAAGAAGGGGCATGTCTAGGACATACATTTTCCTATTGATCACTGTGATATTCAGGGGAAATAAAAACATGTCGAGTAAAGACCCAGTCACCCAGAAAAAAAGCTGCTGGTTGTCTTAGGCTGTCTCGGTGGCTGCCGAGCATAGTTTTGGAAAGCGAGCCAGAGCTTTGGCAGTGTCCCGGCAGTGCCAGCGGGTTTCTGTGCTCCGGGAGCTAGTGCGGAAGCAGACTGCAGTTTCAGGGCCTCCTTGCCTCTGTGTCCTGTTTCCGTGGGGTTATTGTCTGGGACTAAGGAACAAGCAGTGAAATTGAGAGTTTACGGACAGAAGGTGTAGAATTACATGTGGAAAGAACCACAGGTAATGAAATACTCCACTAATGGATTAAAGTCCATTTAAAAGGAACACTTTCCTAAAGATAAGACCTGTTTCTTTGACCACACCCCTCGTGTCTAGTGGCAAGCCCTTTCACTGCTTCCTCTCTGCCATCTCCTTCCGTCCTTTCTGAACTCTGTGTCATTAGAAAATGCATTTTCAATTTTTCGTGGCCCCTGCTGGTTATGCTGGCATTGTCCCGGACTAGGAGTCCTTCAGTGTGCCGAGTCCACCCCCAGTTCAGCCCTCCTCATTTTTCAGGCAAGTCCACAGCTCAGATCCCATTTCCTTCATAAACCCTCTTCACTGGAGCTGAAAGTGCTTTCTCTCTTTGGTGTTGTGACACACTGGGTGTCCCTTGTCCCACACGGGTTTCCAAACTCCATTCTCAAACCTTTGTCTTTTCAAGTAGATGGGTGTCTTTTAATCTCTGAACACATGTTGAAGTACAGGAATAGCATCCATGTTATAGACTTTGGTATAGCATATGTTTGTGTGTGGGGGGCTGTATTTATATGGTAAGTGATGCTTGGGAGGGGTATGTGTGGGTGGTTACCATATCATTAAATCTTTTTAATTGTATCTAGGTTTTGCTCTGACACTAATTCATTGGTATCTAATTTTAAATTTCGTATTTTAATTTTAACCATGGGGGGAATTTATGTGATGCAGACTCTTTTAAAGGTCTCTAGTTTTTTGTAAAACTAGAGTTCTTGAAGTGATTAATTTTTAAAATCTCCTAATAGGAAACAGTTTCCTAGTAGGGAAACAGTCTGTCTCTTTTCACCTTGATTACTAATAGCCTCTACTAGGCCTAAAAATAAAACAGATTGTTTAAAGTGATTCATTTGACATTGTCTTTTTTTTTTTTTTTGAGAAATCGTATCGCTCTGACATTTACTGTTTGTGCTAGATAATGTTCTTCATCATTTTCATTTTCATAGCACGTGTCAACGTGCATATTACACTAACTTCACCCGTAACTTTGGGTCTTTCTTCACTTAGTCAGGAAACATTTTTGTATGTTTATACCTAAGAATTACCCTGGGAGGTAGGTAGGTAGGTTTTGGGGTTTCCCGTTTTCTGAGAAAGGCCAGAAGGCCTCATTGAGCAGGTTGCCCCAGCATTCCCTGCTCACAACTCTCACATGCAGCCTGACACTTCGTGGTAGTCCAATTTCTCTTTCCAGCCATGCCCAAGTGCCATTTTCCCGTGGGTTAGTTGTCCTGCTTGCGACTTCTGTCCCTGCTCCCAGCGAGCACACTGTGAGTAGGGCATGGCCCTCCATGCCTCTGTGTGGGGGTGGTGGAGTGGCACTCAGACCTCAGGGCCTGATCCTTGCTCTCCAGGTCACAGGCACTGCCACAAGAAACTGCAACAAGAAACAAAGTTGGGTTCTGAATTCTCATACTGCAGACAAGTAGTAGATTCTCTTCTCCCTCAGTTCACTGAATGAAATGAATTTGAATTTCATTTAAAGGAAGAATTTCAGACTTGCCAGTTGCATGAGGCTTTTTGTGGTATGCTTAGCCCATTTTTCCTTTGGAAAGAGAAGTGAATTGGAGATAGGGTGAGGGGGTTGTGAGAAGAAACCAGAAGTTAAGATAAGGAGGAATTAAGGGAACCCTTTAAGGATATTAAATAGATTTATTTTCTTCAAAATAAACAACTTTGTTTTAGTTGTTTTCTTCAAAACAACTAAAAAAAAGTGCAATACTATCAGCACTTTAGAGCATCTCATGTAAGCTGTTTGGGCTTGCCAGCAGAATTTGATAGAGATATTATCAAGTTCTTGATAGCTTTATACTTGATGTCAGCAACAGCTTAGATAAGTTACAGTACATTAGTATCTTTTGCTAATTAAAGTAAAGTGAACCAGGTATATCCTGAACAGCGGGTAAAAGGATCTAGAAGGATGAAGAGCAACCAGAAAATAGCCTCTTACAACATGAAAGACTATGTCCAGGTACCTGCAGCCGAACTGGAAAAGGCTTACGAGCTGCCGCGGGAGCCCAGCTCGCTCCTGTGCCTGCGTAGGTCCAGTGATTGCCTGTGCTTGTTTGTGATGTGTGTGAGTGCAGTATTCTCTTATTTTAAGTTTTCCACAAAGTTGTTTCTTTCGTGATTACTGTTGCCACAGCTGTTTTAACTCTGCATTATCTTCAGTGTCATCACTTTTATCGAATCTTGAGTAAACTGTAATTTCTAAACCCAGTTTCATGTGTCTTGGTACAGTTTTCCATGTATAGTAAGTAGTCAGGGTCTTTCGTCTTGTGTGTCCGGCCTTCTGGAGAGACTTTCTGTGACCACCTGTTCCTGCCTGGCAGGTGCATTCCTTATCTGTTCATCAGACTCGGTCCAGCAGTCACATTCACTGGCCGTGGTTTATGGGAAGCTAAGTGTTTAAAGTAACTCGCAAGTTGGCTGGTGTGGACTTCAGTGTGGCAGCGACCCTGTGCGGAATCTGGGTTCTTCTTTTTCCAAATGTGTGGCATTAGACAAATGTGTCTCCCTGAGCGTCTGCTTCCTCATTAATCAAGTGGAGAGGATAATCACCTCTCCGGGTGTCAGTGACTAGGTGAAGTGGGGTGACTGCACATCCGCACATGTCACCCTCCTTGCGGCTTTCGAACAATCAGTTTGCAGGAAAGTTCAGTGTGGGGAAGCCCGTCTCAGGGGCTCTCTGCCTCCCGCTTCCCTGTAGTAATGATTTTTGCTAATAATAGTTGCTGCTTTCCTGAATGCGTACTGTGCGAGATAGCCTGAACAAGAACTTTATGTGTGGCCTTGCCTTAGGGCTAGCAGAGGATTCACTGTAATCTCACCAGGAGACTTTCTGAGACTTTCTTCGTTGCAAAACCCAGTCCTCTCAGGGACCAGTATAAAGTCAAATACTCAGCACTTTTTTTTTTTTTACTTTTTTTCAGTGTTTAGTTGAAGTATATTTATATTAGGTGTAGTGGACTCAGAAATAAGACTTCTACTTGACCCCTGCCTCCATGGCCCTTTCTAATTTTCATACTTGTGTTTTGCTTTTGGACTCTAAAAGGATCTTCAGGTATTTCGGTGTTGCTGAAAACTATCCTGATGGACTAGGGAGCATCCCAAACAACAAGTCGCACTTTATGTCACCTGCATGTAGTACCTCAGTACACGCTGCGGCCATATCCGCTGTTTCTCTAGGTAGCAGCTCATGTACTGCTGCCTCTGTCTGTGGCATCTGACACCCCACATGGTGGCATGGTATAGGCACATTGTAGGCACAAAGGAGATACTTGATTGTGATTGATTTGACCACTAATTCTATGGTCTGCTGGGAAGAGTATGGGCTTTAGAATTAAGACACCAAGCATGGCTGTTGTGAGTTGCTTGGTTAGTTCTGCAGGTAATGATCATGATCTTCGTATCTCAGTAACTTATTGCGAATGGAAATGCTGTCAACGAATGTCTGTGTGGTATTTTATGTCCACTGAAGAGGCTGTGTGAGCCTCAATTCTGTTTTGTGCTCATCATGACATTAATGACTTCACTGTGCTGCAAATCAGGATCCAGTTTTGCTTTGGCCTGTGGAGGGCACTCAGCTGACACTTGCTGTATGACTGAATGCACCAGTGACGCCTGCTTCATGAGCAGAGCAAGACTGGAGTTGTTTCTGGAATAAGAGCCAGCTGATAAGAGAGCAGCGAAGTCCACTTAAACCCCTGTTTTCACTCAAGTGTGCTCTTATACATATTTTGGTTTCTAAGTATGCAGTTGCATACTTAGATGTGCATCCTCGTTTTATAATCATGGCCATAACTTCATAATGACCTGACCAGCAATGCTGTGAAGTTACTGGTTTGCAGGACGAGAACATTGATCCCCTTTATTTACATAGCTCTTTTCAGAGAGCTGATATGCCTTACCCCAGGTCATATAACCACTTAAATGGAAGAACTGCAATGAACCTAAGTCTTTTGGATCTAAATCCAGTGCTTTTTCCAAGATACCAAACTAACACTGATAATATAGAGAGCAACTTTCTTGACTTCCTTTTGAGGTTATTCCTCTCTTTCCAGGATCCATGTGTAGATAAATGTATTGATAGTTACAACTTACTACACTAGTGGGACTGGAAAGTGGGTTAGGTCAAGCAGGGAAAGTGAGGATACCTGGGGGTGTGGAGAGTAATAGAAGATCAGAAAGGAGATAAAAGGGATGGTATGGGTTATGTATTTGCTTTCGGGGTGAATTTTATAGCTGTGTGTGTGTGTATACACATGCCCCAAATAATTGGTTTGGGACTTTGGAATAATTTATTTGCATATTTATTTACTTATTTTTTACCGATGTGTTTGAGAAACAGAAAAAGTTTAGCATTTTTATTCCTCACTTAGTAATTGCATTGTTGTACCTTTTTCTATTTATGACAGTTTGAACTTTTCCCTTTTACTTTAAATAATAACCCATGATGATTCGGAAAACTTGAATTTCTAGGTCAGCTTATAATTGATGGACTTTGTGATTTTACTCTGTTAAACAGGAGTGTGTTGCTGCTGTTCCGCTCTGAGACCTCGCTACAAACGCCTGGTGGACAACATATTTCCTGAAGATCCAAAAGTAATGTGACCACCTAGTGACCCTTCTCTTTGCTGACCCATCCTTCCCCTGCTGACCTTCCTAAGGTTTCCCTAATTTCATTTCTCTACTTTTCCCCCTAAATCTCATGTACACAGTAATTTTATTTCTTTTTCTCACTGTCTCTTTAACCTTTAAATGACCCTTGCTTGCTTATCTCATTCTCAGATCCTTTTCTTGGATTTGGAATAAATTTGGATAATGCGTGGATGCCCTTCTGTCTATAGACCCTAACTTCAAGTTATACTCATGATAAATTTCTGAGCCTGTGCCAAATTATTTGTACAAAATGCTAGTAAACAGGCATGTTTTCTGGTTTGCCAGCCTTGGCAATTAAAATGTTGTGTGAAGGGGGCCTACATACAGGAGAAGACAGAGTGAGCTCTGCTTTGGATTTGGGAGAGGGTGGGTCTGAGAAATGAATCTAAGCCATGATCCAAAGAACAAGTAGGGCTGTCCACAGAGAGAAAACTAGAGAAACGAGGGAGGCCTATTCGAAGCAGAGTTTTCTTTTCAATTTAATGCCTTTAAGATTTTTAGAAAAGTATTTTATTGTAGATTACTGCTTTCAAAGTTACTGGTTTTGTTTCACATTGCCTTAAATTTTCAAAGACTAATCTTTTGTTAAATAGATGGAATAAAAAAAAATCTTGAATGGCTTTGATTCCTAGAATTTTCTATATTTTGAAATCTAGCTTGCTATAGGCACCTCTGGTTAACTTATGTATCTCATGATTACATGCTACATCTTTTTTTTTTTTTTTAAATAGGTAGGTG